TTCCCCAGGGTCCAGTGTAGCCCCAAATCCAGAGTTTGAGCACTTGGAGGACGGCCCAGGCCAGTCTGCAGGTGCAAGCCGAACCCAGACAGTCCTGAAGTTCTTCCTGAAGTGGACAAGGTCCCACTACACTCCAGGGACGAACTCAAAACCTCAGTCATTCCGTGCTCCTTCTGCTCATTATCATAAACAGTATTTAATCCTGGCAGAACAATAATCCCTTCCTGGTGTATGTGCCAGTTTGTATTATGCAAGATTCAAAGTCACTTGATGCCATGAGGAAACTAAAAAGACTCTCTGCGTAGGGCAGAAATAATTTGCAAGACCATCTTGGGGTAGAGGGTTCTCAAATGAACTCCAGTGGTCCCACTGCTTTCAGAGGGCCAGGCAGGCACCCCGTTTGAAGAGCTGCGTAACAAAAGCCCTGGCTGGGTGCATTATAATTTGCTCCAACCAGTTCCAAAGGACTCCTATTTTCAATGATGTGAAGAGAAATACTAATGTCACAGGACGTGGGCATTGTGCTTAATATAAATACACACACAAAAGCTAAGCAAGGGTATTTTGGATGTCTGGTTGGGGAGGATGTAATTAAATTTCCCTTAGAGAACCCTCTGAAGTCTGTGGCTAACTGCTTTATACAAAAGTAGTGTTCCCCATCAGCTGATCTGTCAGTTGTAGGATGCTCGCAAATGGGGAAAGTGGCCGAGGCAGAATCAATTCGTTTCCACTTGGAGTAAAGTCTACCTTTCAGGAGAGAGGACGTCATCCCTGCGCTGGCTGCTTGAGTTGAGCACCACACTCGCCTACGGGGCTGGGGCGGTGACCAACCATGTTCTGGGAACCGGGGGAGCTCCCAGGACCGAGTGTGGGCCTGGGCTCTGAGCACTGCACCCCCGTGTGTGCCACGACTTCTGAGGTTTCTGACTGGCATCAGCTTCCGCCCAGCCCCGCGAGGGTTCCACCTGATGAGACCTCCCCACTGAGCCCCATAAACATGGGGGCCTGGCTGGCGGGGAAATCATCGCATCTCACGGGGTGATGGCGTGGGGCGTGGCATGTGTGGTCTCATGGTGTCAGGGAGCAGCTCGCAGACTTTGAGAAGGCCACCAACGTCTCAGCCCTGCAGGGAAGGTGGGGACGCCGGTTTCATTTTGCGGTGGAGGTGCACTTCCAGCCTCTCCTGGGCTGCAGCCACCAGCCCTTCCTGCCCGTCCGCACCGGTGCAGCTGGAGCCGCGGGGGGTCTGTGTCAGTCTTTCCTGCCGCAGCTGGGGTCTCCTGCGACTCCCGTGAGGAGCAGGAAGCGGACGTTTGCACGATGCGCCCGCTCAGTGCAGACAGTAAACACACTGCCCGGAACCCGGAGCACCTGCGGGGACATCTGCCCCATTTGCTGCTCCCCGTGCCTGCTGCTCCCCAGGCTGGAGCCGGAGGCCTGGGGACTCGAGGACCACGGGCCTCCGCCGTCAGCCCCTAGGGGGGATGGGGGCTGCGGGGGGGTGGGTTTAGCATGTGTGTATGCATTGAACGTGTGTGTGGGGTGTGTATAGGTGTGGGGTGCACATATCTCTGCCTGTGTGCTTCCATATCTGTAAGTGTGCTTATGTGTGTGAGTCTGTGTGTCATGCGTGTTCATGTGTGTCGCGTGGATCTGTGTTGTGTGTATGTGTGTGTATAAGAGGGGGGACTGGCCCCAGGTACCCAGCTCACTTGTGAATCTGGACTCAGCCCAGCCCATCCTCCAGTGCTTTCCAAGCAGCCACGACCCTCTTCACAGCACCTGGGTCGGGGGAGGCCTGAGGGAGGGGTGGAGTGAGGCGAGCTGTAGACGCTAGAGGTGGAGCCAGGGGTGCCCGAGAGGTGATGAAGGCCCTCCCCCTCCCAGACCCCGAAACTGGCCCCCACAAGGGAACCAGAGCTGAGTGAAGGGCTGGAGATGGAGGGTGGACGGGGACCCTGCAGAGTCCCAGCTTCTGCAGGGCCTCACGGGCTTCTCGTTGGGCGGGTTGCCTGGCCCTGGGGGGCAGGAGCTGCTCCCCCCTCCCCCCCGACTCCTCCATCCCAGCGCTGCCTCTTCCTCGCGCAACAGCAGACCCCTCCCCTGCAGCACTGGCTCTGCTGGTACTGGCCAGCCAGCCGTGCTGGCAGAGGCCTCACCTGGTGCCGGCTCTGCGCTGGGCGCACTGGGCATAGCTGGGGTCGCTCCGCCCAGCAGCCCCGTGAGACAGAGACCAAATGCTCCTGGTTGAAAACTCAAAAGGGGCAGGGCGGGGAGACAGTGCTTGGGTCAAAGGCCTTTGCTCTGAGCCACCAGCACTGACCGCAAAGACCTAATTTCTAAGATGCTTACTGTCTAGGCCAAAAGAAAGAGCGGGGCACTGTGCCTGCTGGCCATGCAGTGGGACTGGGTTAGTCACCTGGGGTAGCAGGCAGTCGCCTGACAACAAACCAGTGTTCAGGGGCGGCCAGAGCCCACAGACTCCTGGGGTCCCCTTCACCTCCCCAAAGCCCGACATCAGAAGCACACTGTGGAATGTCTACAAGGCAATACACCCACACTGAGCACATCCCATGCGCCAGGCGCCCCAAATACACTGTCTCAGGTATACAGGTGGTACGTGCAGCTGCTTTGAAGAGCTGGAGAGTCAGACAGACCTGCCTGGCACTCATGGAGTTGCAGACTCCCCATCAGGAAAGTGCTGCTGCAGGAATGAAGGTGGGCAGCGGGAAGCCGGATCCCTTAGACACATCGGGCCCCACACGTTCATTGCACCATTTTATTAACGTCCCCTCCGCCACTAGACTTCAAAGCAGCTCCCTCTGCATCTTGGTGTCTGGCACATAGGAGTCGCAAGAAAACCCTTGGAGAAGGACCCCAAACGGCCGTGATGCTGCAACGGTGACTTGTAACGAGCCAGGACGGTTCAGGGGACCACATACTGGCTAGCGGGGGATTCTCATGGTGGGGACCTCAGGTACTTGGAGACGCCTATTTTGGGATCTCAGGTGCTTAGAGACGTCTGTTTTGGGCCAAACCCTGTTTGGTTTCCCAAACCTCACTGTTGAGGTGGCTGCCAGCTTGGCTTCAAGCCCACTGGTCTTTCATTGTTCTGCTTGTGTTAGCATCATCCGTACTTCCCTTCAGTTAAAACCGTCAGACTTTCAAGGACATCAGAAGCCACTTTCCTCAGTTGTTGGGGTCCCATTGTGTCATCAGTGGCTGAAAATAGTGTCACTCTTGTGAAAGAGCCTGTGACACCGAGCACGATGACTGCCTTTGCAGCAGGGCTGATGGGCTCGGGAACAGCCTCGGAGGGACGCCATGTGTCCTGCAAGGGTGCCGGACACGGAACCTGCTTGTTCCACAGGGCAGGCCGAGTGCAGAGCCGCCGAGAGCTTTAATTCCACTTTAATAGGCTGCATTCCATAGAAGGCTCCCTTAATGAGGGTTAATGACATTAATTACTGTCCCCTTCACTTAAGAACATGCTCAAGAGGAGCTAATTGTCACATAACGGCCCAGGAACAGCTCAGGCCCCAGCAGAACTGCCAGGAAGAGTCTGTCCCCCTTTCTTTCCCCAGTCCTCCTGCCCTTCCGTGCCCCCGACCCCAACCTCGCTTACCTTCTTTTCCTCTGGTCAGGGCTGTCACTCCTCCTCTCTGTGTCCGGTAAGAATGGGAACTGTAACCCGCGGCTGCATCACTTTCCCAGGGGGACTTCGGGTTTAAACACGGATCGCCGACAGCCTCCCAGTTTGATAACCTGCCCAGTGGAGGTGACGTCATGGGCATCTCCCTGCATGATGGGTGGGATGAGCCCCTCTTTCGAGGGCATCCTGGCAAGAGCTGCCCGAATTAAAAATGCATGGGTCATTTGACCCAGGAACTTCTCTTTTAAGAATTTTTCCTACAGATTTTTTTCCTGTACGTGTCCACAAAGAACATATAAAGGTATTCATTGCAGCACTGATGGAACAGCAAAGGGTGAACGCAGTCTGACCGAGAGTGGACCAGGTGTCAGATAAATTATGCTGTAGCCACAACGTGGGGTGTCGTGTAGCTGATATAAGACAAGACCAGTCTATGAGCTGATGTGAAACACTATCCAAGGTATAGTATTAAGCCAAAGAGCAAGGGGCTAGAACAGTATATACGCTAGTTACCATTCATGTCAGAAAAGCGGAGTGTATTTTTGTGAGTGTGTGTGCACGCATCTGCCCGTCCCCTGACACACACACACGCACAGAGCAGAAGGCCGTGTGTAGCTTCCAGAAGCGCCGGGCTGGAGCCTGTAGACTCTGCAGCGACCCACAGGGGCCCGCGGGGTGCAGAGTCGAGGGCACCTGTGAGCTGGACTCAGCCTACTGGGGAGGGAGGACAGCCTGGATCCGGGCACCCGAGATGGGTGGCTGATGTGAGCCACGTGGCACAGAGTGAAAAGCTAGCCCTGGGACTGGCAGGAGGCCACTGTTTGGAGAAAGCAGGGTGACCAGGCTGGGAGGTGACACCTCAGTGTGAGTGTCCTGGGGCAGAGCGCGCACCTGGGGGTGGTATCTGGGCCAGCTTTACTGATCTTTAAGACTCGAGTGACCCTGAAGCCGCACTGTTCAGTGTACTAGTCACACGAGCCACCGGCGGCCTTTTAAGTCAACGTTAAATAGAAACCCGGTTCCTCGCGGCGTCAGCCCCGTTTCAAGCGCTCAGCGGCCACACCGGCCCCCCGCCGGGACGGCACCCCTTAGGTTTCTGTCGGTTAATGACTGACCGTTCCTGAAGCTTCACCGCAGCGGGTCTGTACGCGCTCTGGAAAGTGTGAAAACGGAGACCAAAAGAAACGGTGTTGTCTGCTGTGAACGATTTCATAATGTTTATTTCTTGACAATCAGGATTTTCCTCGCTTGACAATTCAGATCTGTTGTTTTGCAGCGACCGTCAAATCCTGGAGCTCTGAAATGCTCTTCCTGGGCCCTGACTGCGGTCTGTTCCCACGACGGGCGGACGAAGGGGCTCAGTGGGCCACGCGGGGGGAGGGGGACGCGCGTTTAAGCGCTGCCTGCGCGGAGGCCAGGGAGTCTGTCCCCCTCTCAGGCCGCTCTGAGCCTCGGCCAGGCAGTCTGGAGTGGGTCAGGGGAGGGCAGGCCGGCAGCCCGCTCACCCTGGGGTGCCTTTGGTGCGCGAAGGCGAATGCTTGGCAGCGCACTTGGGAAGTGGAGTTTGTTCAAGAGGAAGGGTGGTTTCTAGTGTGTGTGTAACATACCCAGAGCACAGGGTCTCTTCCTGTTCTGACCTGTGTCCCTCTTCTGTACAGACCCAGGCTGGGGGGCCTGTGCTGGTGGCCAGAAGACAGCTGGGAACCACTGGTCGTTTGGGGCATTAAAGATCAAATTCCAGGAATGCCTAGAGATCCAGTTTGGTCCAGAGCCCAAGACTGCGCAGCTCTGTGGTGTAGTCAAACCCTGTCCAAGAGTTCATCTGCATTAAATTTAACTCAACGTGCCCCACTTCAGTTTGTCTCCATCCTTTGATTACGTTCTCAGCACAATTTAGAACTGGGTTACCCACTATCTTCCACCAAATAAACTTCCATATTCTTGCAAAATCCAGTCTTTTGAAACTTACCTTTCTACTCTTTCATCTTTTTCTTATTTCTTTATTTAGGGTTTCCCGTCTCCTATTTCTAGCCCATTTCTATGTTGTGGTTTTCATCCAGCCATTGGTCTGCCAACGTCCCAGTGCTTTTCAAGAGCAGTGAACTGGGAACTAGGAGGCAATGATTTCAGTTCCAATGTTCCAAAGATTAGCTGTGTGCCCCTGGGCCTTATGTCCCCATCTTCAAACTTAGAAAATTCAGAGTTAAATTTTAAGATCTTTTTTAGTTCCAGCAAACACATTACTGAGTCAGTTCAAGAAAAGCAGCCTTTATTCCATTCTGTATCACATATTAACAGCACAAAGAATTAATTTATTAAAACACACGCAAGAGAACGTGCAGCATGTATGGTTCAGTAAAAAGCAAGTAGTGCCGGTGGTGGCCTGAACTTACTCGTTGTCAGATGAGAGTATTTCTTAGCCATCAAAATTTAATTTGGCAACTAGTCCTGATGAGACGAAGTGTCCAGCTTGGAAAGGCTGGGGAGTGTGTGTAGAGTGGACTTGGTTATACACAAACTTTACATAGACTGAGAAACAGTTACGAGCTCTAGAAACAGTTGCTGTGGACAAGCAACTTGGTGGACAGTCTGGAGGGGTCTCGCTGAGCCAGGGCAGGGCTGACGGGCTTGGGGCCTGGGCGCGGCCGTCTTCGCACAGGCGACGGTGAACCTCCGTGTGGGAGAGTCGGGGCCGCCTCCACCCCTGAGTGAGACTCAAGCTCGGCCCCTCAGGAAGGCACTACTTTTTCTTTTTCTCCGTTTCCCTTTTGTTTCCTTTCTTTTTCCCTTTGTCCTTTTCATTCTCTGCGTTACCTCCCGTTAATGCCAGGGCTCGCTTCCTCCCCATCGGGGTTTTGGCGTACCAGACCTGAAATCAAACAGGTGTTTAGGAAAACAGCAGAGGGATGGAAGTCCCTGGTATACCCTTAAAAACAAAGACAAGCTGCTAAAGCGAGGGGGAAGCAGCCATTAAACACTGGACATTTAACATACGTTCAATACAGATTCTTTCTCAGCAGGTTTACCGACCTGTATTTCTACACAATTTGAAACTTCTACCTCAAGGAGTTAACAGTTAAAGAGAATCACTGGTCAAATCTAATCAACAATCCTTCCCAACTCAGCCACCCGGCTTCCTGGGGATCTTGCTCGATCCACAAAGTATGGGTTTTCTTGGTAACGTGAATGGCTCCCCATGGGTCACACGCGGCCACCAGAAGCTGGACTGGTGACCGTGGGTGAATCTCAGGAGGACATTCAAACACCTTGAGGGAGACCGTTGAAAACATGGCTGATACCAGAGCCAAAACACTGAGCATTTAATGATCACAACGGAGCTTCGGCTCTGTTCTTTTAAGCTGTGTGACCTGGAACAAGTCATTCTGCCTCTTGTGTGTTTTTGCTTTTGTTTGTTTTTGTTTTTTGGCTGCTGTAGCAAATTTTCACAAAATCAGGGGCTTAAAGCAGCACTTATCATTTTATAGTTCCGGAGGTCCAAAATGGGTCTCACGGGGCTAAAACCAAGGTGTCCGCGGGCTGCGTTCCTCTCTGAAGCCCCGGTGGGGTCTGCTCCCTTGCCTTTTGTGGTCTGCAGAGGCCACCTGCTCCCTGGCTGCGGCCGCCTCCGCCTTCCCGCCAGGAATGCTGGGCTGCCCGCAGCGCCCGTGAGTCCTCCCGCCGCGGTCTCTCCGTTCTCTCTTCCGACGCCCTCTTCTACTTCTTATGCTTACACTGGACTCATGAGGATAAGTCAAGGTAATGTGCCTTAAGGTCGGCTGATTAGCAGCCTGACTCCATCTGAAACCTGAATTCCCCTTCACCGTGGAACCTAACATACGCCCAGGGGCCAGGGACTTGGATGTAGACATCTCTGGGAAGCGTTCCACGCCTCACTGTAACTCAGTGTCTTCATCTGCAAAACGAGAATGGTGAGGACTAACTGAGCTGACAGGGGACCCGGCGTCCAACAGCCACAAGTATTGGCCCACATTATTATGACAAGTACATCGTCACCATGACACTTTTTCTCCATCGTGTCCGCAGAGCAGGCTACACATGTTTGGAGAATCTGCAAGACCTTGGTCGGACACACTGTCAGAAGCACAATTAGGTAAGACTTCTCAGGGCAGAAATGGTAGACCTGATTGCCAGCAGCCTCAGCCACGGAAGCACCTTACTCAGCAGAGTGATGGTGTTGTTCCGTCTACCCATCTGCTCAGTACATTTGCCACTAAACAATGAACTGAACACCTAGACGGGGCAGGCGCTGTGCCAAGCGCTGGGGCGCCAGCAGGAGAGGAAGCGGTGGGGGAGGGTGGGGCTGGTGGTGATGCTGGTATAATGATTAAAAATATTAAAAAAATTTTGAATAAAATGATCACATGTGCCAAAAACATCTGTGAGAAGCATATGCGTTCTCATCTCAGGTTATAAAGTGGTGGCATTTCCTTCTTTTGCTTAGTGTGATGGGTTACAGTTCCTGGACCTCAAGGACCTGTAACAGACAGAAAACCTTCTAGAGATCATTTCAGAAAGTTAAAAAGTATTAAGAGAAAGGATGGATTTTAACACTTCGCTCCTCAAAATAAGGAAGAAAACTATTATTTTAGAAAGGAGGAAAATACCCCAGGAGCTTCTGAAAAGAATGTATCACTTGAAGAGGATAAATACTTTCTAAAATTTTATTTATTTATTTTTTGAGCTGTCACTGATTTTGCACATTTTGTGACTTCTTTTTTTGTTTTTTTTTTGCGGGGGGGTAGATAATTAGGTTTATTTATTTATTTATTTGTTTATTAATGGAGGTACTGGGCAATGAACCCAGGACCTCGTGCCAGCTAAGCACGGGCTCTGCCAATGAGCTATAGCCTCTCCTGAGGATAAATACTTCAATTAACACTAACAAGGTTTAAATAGGTAACAAGTACATTAATTCAGATGCTTGGCACAAACTCTAGCTTGGAGTTGGAGATATTTCTTTTGAGTTTTACTGGAGCCAGAAACTCAGGAAACTATGGCTGATGACCCAGGTTTGGTCTGTTGCCTGTTTTTGCAAATAAAGTTTTATTGGAACCCAGCTGCACCCATTAATTTACATACTGCGTACGGATACCTCTGTGCTACGATGCAGATAAACGGTTGTGACAGAGGCCACGTAGCTCTCACAGCCTAAGATATTCACTCTCTGGCCCTTTATGGAAAAAGTTTGTCAACCCTTATGCAGATCATGATTCTAGGAGTCAGTATGTTTTGACTACTTTCAACCTCCACTGAAGCGTCAGGGGCACAGCAGAGGGAAGCACAGTTTTAGAGCTGGTGGAAGAGTGATGCGTTGTCAAGAGAATTTTCCCAATCTCCAGGGGGCTTTCAGACATAGGAGGCTTGAGCGAGAATTCCAACTCTCATTCTGGTGACTGACTGTGTGGCCAAGGATGTGGTGGATATAATCACATGGGTACAATTCTCCTCTCTTCTCTTCCCAGTTGGCCAAGGAAACTACCTTCAGGTCCAGAAGGAACACAGTTGTATTCATTTTTATTAAAAGGATTTTGAGGGGTGCTTGCTGGCCTGGGAACCAGGGATGGGGCCCCAGCGGTGACTGTGCCTGGAGAGGGCATATGATGCTCCAGTACATCTTTTCCTCTGATTAAAGAGGAATTCGGAGGAATTGATTCTCAAAGTTTCCTCTAGATCTAAAAGTCTCTGTGAACATCTCAGAATGTATTCAAAAATTAGAAAACTCACTTTTGGTGAATTCTCTCGTGATTTCCTGTGGCAAGTGCACTGAAAGATGTGAGTGTCACAGCAAATACGAGGCAAGATCACCATATGCTACTTAGGGGCTGCTTGTCTCCATGCAAAACTTGTTCCATTATGTGAATTAGGAAGTAAAAACCAGTGAGAACCAGGAGAAGAGTGAGTGTGTGTGAGTGTGTGAGTGTGTGTGTGTGTGTGTGTGAATCCAATGGTTTTGAAGCTGTTACTCAATTCTGCAATTTGGCTGTTAATTTAGAAAGTCAGGGATCACGATTTCCCTAAAATTTGGAAAATGCACGCTTTACTGCTAAGGCCAGAAAGATATTATGACCCCCTAATTCCAAGTTTTCAAACCTCATTGGAGACAGCAGCGTTCAAGTCATGAAACTCAGGAGACTGGAGGGAAGAGGCAACACGACAAGTGTCTGCCGCTAAGACCTGGCCACATGGGGCTGTGTTTACCTTAAAGCTCTCTTCTTCCTCTTGGTAGACGGGGCTCATGCTGGTGAGCGCGGTGATGAACTCCACGGCGGTGAGCGGCTTACGAGCCTGCTGCCGGATTCTACGCTCCGTGAGCACCTCCTTCACCACCTGGACGATGTGCCCCTGGGTGAAGCCGTCGGAGATCTTTGCTAGGCAACTTACACTCAGGGCATCAGTGATGACTCCTTTGTTGCGCTGAATGATCTGCTTCCACAAAACTGTTGTAGCCAAGGTGGTAGAAAAGATAGAGAAGGAGTCACCCCAGAGAGAGCAGTGTTAACCTTGTTCTCAGAGCAAAGTTGCATCTCATCCCTAAACAGACATTTCTCCAAGAAAATACCCAGATGGTCAACAGGCACATGAAAAGATGCTCAGTATCACTAATTATTAGAGAAAAGCAAATCAAAACTACAATGAGGTATCACCTCACTCCAGTCAGAAGGGCCATCATCAAAAAGTCTACAAGTAATAAATTCTGGAGAGGATGTGGAGAAAAGGGAACCCCCCTACACTGTTGGTGGGAATGTAACTTGGTGCAGCCACTATTGAAAACAGTATGGAAATTCCTAAAGAAACTAAAAATAGAGTTACCATATGATACAGCAGTCCCACTCCTGGGCATATATCCAGAAAAGATGAAAACTCTAATTTGAAATGACATATGCACCCCAATGTTCATAGCAGCACTATTCACAACAGCCAAGACATGGAAGAAACCTAAATGTCCATCCACAGATGACTGGATAAAGAAATTGTGGAATATTTATACAATGGAATACTACTCAGCCATAAAGAAGAAGAAAATAATGCCATTTCCAGCAGCATGGATGGACCTGGAGATTATCATGCTAAATGAAGTCAGACAGAGAAAGACAAATATCACATGACATCACTTACATGTAAAATCTAAAATACGATACAAATAAACTTATTTCCAAAAGAGAAACAAGATCATAGACATAGAAAACAAACTTATGGTTACCAAAAGGGAAAGGGGGTGGAGGAGGGGTAAATTAGGATTTGGGATTAGCAGATACAAACTATTATATATAAAATAGATAAACAACAAGGACCTACTGTAGAGCACAGGGAATTATATTCAGTATCTTGTAATGACCTATAATGGAAAAGAATCTGAAAAAGAACATATATAAAAAACGGAACCACGTTGCTGTAGACGTGAAACATTGTAAATCACTATACTTCAATGAAAACAAAAAAGAAAAAAATAAAGAGAAAAATAAAGAAAATAAAAACCTGTCTCACCAAGAAAGGAGAGCACAGGGGATCTGCTCCAAGTTGGTTGTAATTCAAATGGGCAGGGAGCCACCTAACTAAACACTCACCCCTGAGTGATTTTCAAGCATAAGACGTTCACATCGATGACCTGAGGTCTACAGATGCACGATCCCTTGTGAATGGGCAGGGAAAATACAGCCAGGGTCAGTACCAGTTTAGTGCGGTTCTTTCAAAGATGCTCAGAATCTTTCCATTAACATGGGTGTACATAGCGTTTCAGCAGGCAGCCATTTGACTTGCTTTAGTTATAAAGATCATTTGTTACATTATTATTTTTATACGTGGATTTGGAATGCAGAGCCCAGTTTCCATTAGCCACTGCAGGGCTCAGTTTCCGGTGGGTTGTGACCCTGGATCACACATCATATTAGACAGAGCCTTATTCTCTGCCCCAACAGTGGCAAACACATGTAGATTGACAGGATCTACCGATGGGCGGCCTGCTGTTGTCTGGGTCAGCGGGACCTGGGGTAACCCAGACGTTGCACTTGGAGCACAGGGCTGCTGTGAAGATGAACTGTAAGGTGATTCCTAATGTTCACTCCACTTCAGGGACAGAATGCGCTCCTGCGTGACACGTCCGATAAACGACACTTAGAGCACCACGTCCATTCAGTAGCGAGAGGCTCCAGGGGAGCAAGTGAGCCTCTGCGACTTGCTTAGTTCCATCCAGGCAGCGAGCAAGGGTGAGGGCGCCTCTCGCAGAGCCAGTCCCAGCACCGCGAGGATCTGGGCCAACGTCTCTAAAGCATTTTGGCTTCCTTTGAGGAATATTGGAAACGGTGCTTTAAAAAGGCGAGCATCACTGCATGATCTCAGCACTGTCAGGGGTGCGAAGTGACCACTTCATCCAGAGACATCCACCCCAAACACCCGATGAAATGACAAGGCCTCTTTACTGCCAAGGAGTAGAATGACTTCCAGTGTTACCACGACCCACACCAGAGAGTCTAGCTTTTGGGCCATGCGTTATTTCAATAATTTGCCTCCACTGTCTTTGCTGTGGGGGGAGAGGGGAGGTCTTGGCCCCATGAGGGGCTGAACTGCTGGGAAGGGGTACATTGTACCATGAGGCCTGTACTCCTGGTCCACCAACCGTGGAAGGTTCCACATTAAGAACTGAGAGCTGTGGTGAGACCAGGAAGGGCCCCATGGGGCCCCAGATTGGCCTAAAACAACACCTACCCCCTGTGTCTGCACTGATACTTCCTGGGTGGCTTTATTTGAGCCTGAACCCATCTTAGACAGACCTGTCAAAGTGGGAGCAGAAAGATTTACGTCTCAGGCTGCTGTGAGAAGTAAGTACGAGAATGTATACAAAGAGCTTGGAAGGAACCCTCCTGGCCTGCGGCGGCACTGTGTTTCTGTGGCTCTGTTACTGTTCTGCGATTTTATTATTACTAGTCATTCCATTTTGTGCCACAGTTTCCTGTCGCTACTTAAAACCTCAATTATAAAACAAAACACAAAATGAACTACAGAATGTTTCTAAGCTTGTTTGTGTAAAGACAGACTGTAGGAGGTGAGGATTACCCTTATCTAAAAATAGCCACTGCAGAGTTAGAAACCAGAAGCCAGAACCCGCGGTGAAAATAACCGCCGCCACCAGCAGACGGCATCGCCTCCTGTCCACGTCCGTAACCTCAGACCAGCAAACACGTCTGGGTGGTGGTCTTGGAAGCTGAGACGGGATCACGCTTCACGGGGCAGTCACAGGAGACAACCCCTAGAGCAGAGGACCCAGGAGACCCCCGGGCTGGGAGCCCAGAGCAGCTCCACTCCTGGGTGCCCACCGGCTGAGTTCCCGCCAGCAGCGTGGACTGCACGCGTCGGGGGTAAGCGGTGAGGGCCAAGGGCTCCAGCAACAACGCCGGCTCTGTCCCCTGCCTCCCTGTGACACTGCGAAAGTCACAACCTTCCAACCTTCAACCTGGGGAGTCTCCACACAAGGTTCATTAATAGTGATGCAAAAGACCCCCAAACGCTACAACTGCTTTGGTCTAGTGTGTTCATGTTAACACACCGCTGCCATTTGACATGTATGAGACTTGGTGTTCATGTGAAGTCCTGGCCAAGACTCCTCCAATACGTAAAACGCGGATGACTTCCCAACACTCACCATGTGCTAACCGGGGTGCGGTCACCGCCGGGGCGGGGCTTGTCCCCTGGCCCCAAGGCCAGAGATCCAGCCGTCTCAGACCCAGGGACGGGAAGGAGGGTCAGGCTGGACTCCCTCCTGTGCTTGACGGGCTAGACTTACTAGCGTTTCCACGAATAGCTTCCACTGTTCTACAAAGCTGTTGGCTCATGGGTTCTTGACCTTCAAAGAGCTGCCAGGGGGCAAACAGGGGGCTCAGGAGGGAGCCCCACAGGCAGCACCGGAGCCGCCAGCAGGCTGCCGAGTCTTCAGCCCAGCGGTGCAGGGGGTGGGCGGAGGAGAAGAGCCGCTTGGGGGCCAGCGATGGGCGGGGTGAAGAGGACCAGAGGCCGGGATTCAGGAGGGCTGAAAGCGGCCGAGGTGCGCTCAGGATGGAGGGCTGTACCCTACTTTCTTCTCCAGGACACAGGAGGCTCCCCAGTTCTTCAGACTGGTCTACATTCTCTTCCTCGTCTTTAGACTGAAAGGAATCTGGTCTCTGGATTCCCAGCTCCCGTTCTGCGCTTCTGGCATTCCACAGGGAGTCCACCCTGGCTAGTGCTCGAGATGACAGAGCATCTTAAAACATATTTTCATCTGGGATTTTGCAAAGCACAAGAGGTGAATAATATGATTTGGATGAGTTCCTGGCCTCTGAGACCCAGAATTCCAGAAACGCTGAAAGACACGGGCTGGATTCATCCCAGCAGACACGGGGCCCAGGCTGGGGGGCCTGTGATGAATTGGGTTATTAGTGGAACAGACCCCAAGGAAGAGCGGCAAGAGCAGGAAGCGTTAGGAACGTGGAGAGGAGGCAGCCCTCAGGGGTTTCTGGGGACTAGACACGGCATCAATCAACCTGGGGGTGGATTTTCTACGTAGAGACATTTTGAAGGAAACAGCTTGATTTGGGGAAAGGAGGCAGAGGGTGAATTATATTTGGTAAACCTTAAGGACCGCGTCTCCTCCGGCTGGTCCACCCTTCGCTCCTCAGCCCTGCTACTGCCCCGCACCGCCTAGAGGAGCCTGAGCGGTTGGATGGTGAGTGTCTCCACACACCTCCGGCGCTCTGCTGCCAGCAGACAGATGGCCAGGCAAGGGCCCACGTTATGGATTTGCAGCCCATGCTTTATGGGCTGAAGAGACCATTTTTGATCACTGCAAAGACAGGGACAGTCTTTCTTTAAGATAGATGTCCCGGCCACTGTGGCTGTGATGACTTCCAGGCCACTGGGGGAGACGTCGGGCAGCATTGATGATGTTGGCTAGAATGGCGGCCTGAACAAATCACCCACCGAGAAAGAAATATGAGAGAAGCATGTGGGTTAGTGGACAGAGCCCTGGGCCCAAGACGATCGCTGCTGCAGGTTTATCATCTGCCCACAAGTGGAGGGATGTTTTTCCTTCCTCCCCCATGATGCTGCCGGGAGGGGATTCAGGTTGGAATCTGTCACGTGATCTGAGCCCTTCGAGACGCCTGGCATTTCATCAAAAGAACACAACTGTCCTTGTCATACATCAGTAGCTTCATTTTTAAAGGGCATATGGTTTTGTCAAACAACAGGAACTATTCAATCCAAAGTCAAGAGTGATGCTCCACCCCCTTGAAATTAACAACACCCTGCCTTATTCCTTGAAGATCAGCTTAAAACCGTACATACAATACAGAAAAGAGGAGGGGAGAGAGAGAGAATTGTCTAATCAAGGGGCACGAGAGTGGGAAAGCTGATAAAGCCAGGGGCCTGGAACCCTCTGCACTGACTGCCGGGGGACTGAGAACGTTGGTGCTCGCCCAGCCCTGTGCTGGCTCTTTCCTTGGCTAAAGGACACATCTCTGCTCCCTTGAACCCTGGTGGGGCCTTGTGAGTCCTTCCGGCCAGTGCAATATGGGTAGAAGAACTGCTGGTCCCTTCTGTCTGGTGCCTAAAGTCTCCTGAGAGAGCATTTACACTATTTCTTTCTTTCTTTCTTTTCCTTTGATGCTGGCTGGTTGGAAGGATCCACTGGAGGCCCTAGTGATGGAGAAGCCACTAGGTGGATAGAGAAGTAACTGGGACCAAAGCCTTCCTGTCCTTTGTATGTAACATCAATTTATGAAGTCACGATCACAGTTTACCCAGACAGAAATGGGTGCACCTTGCAGATGGAGTGGCTAATAAGCTAAGTGTTTATAATGTACAGAGGGTAAAGGGTTGTGCTTTTAGCCAATCAATTGATCAGGAGCTTAAGATCAACCAGAAAGGACTGCATATCCCCTCCTGGGTTTTGAAGGTGCTGTTGTGACTAGGGAAGGATTAATAGAAACCAAACCTGACCCAATAATTTTATCAGCAATGCTAACCAGCCACCACGTCTTCACTCCCGCCATCTCTACCACAACCACCGCCATGACCACCATCAACTCCATCACCACTGTGCTGCTGCCACCACCACCTCCACTTCCAGCTCCATCACCGTCTCTAAACCCGATCTACCACCGCCCTCCAGCACTACGGGCAATGAAGTCTACCCTCAGTGGGCTGCGCCTGCGGTACTCACACCCTGTGTGGCCCACTGTCCTTGAACCTGGGCTGGCCCTGCGACTTGCCCTTGACCAGGAGAGTGTTGTGGAAGTGACCCTGTGACTTCTGAGTCTGGGTCACAAGAATCCTCCCAGCTTCTGCCTCAACCTCTTGAAATGTCTGCTCTGAGGATGCCCCCTCTGGGGACCCAGCTGCTGTGCTGTGCAAGGCCACGGGGAGAGGCCGGGTGTAGGAGGTCTGGTCCCCAGTGCCAGCTGAGCTCCAGCTGGCAGCCAGCAACGAGTCTAGTTGTGGAAGAACTGTCTTGGATATCCAGCCCTGTCTTCAGATGACAGGGGCCGTCTGACTGCAGTATCACGAGACACTTCAGGGGGACCCCCATCTGAGCCCAGTGGACCCTGAGAACCACGAGAGGCATCCTTTGTTGTTTTAAGCCACTGGAGAGGCCTGTTGCACAGCAACAGATAACAGAAACAACCACCCGCACACCTGCCGGTTCCCTGTGCCGTTTACCAGCCGGCCACTTAAACACTCCTCCTCCACCGCCACCACCACCTTCTCCCTTCCCTCTCCTCCTCCTTCACCATCTTTCCCCCGCCTCTCTCCTATACCACCACCCCTGCTCTTTGGGGAGCTGAGACAGTTCTGGGTGTCCTGCTAACCACCCCACAGAAAGGTCATAACAGCCCCATGAACTAAACAGGTCTCCTACTTCACAGATGAGAAACTGGAGGCTCAGAAGGTCAGCAGCTCAGCAAGGTCATGAGCTATTCAAAACCAGGTTTTGCCAGAGCTCACATCTCTTCCTAAGTCATTACACTGCCTCCCAGGGTCCTTTTTTTGTATTGTTCCCATTAAAAAATACAATTCAAAAGAAGTGGATTTTGAATCCATCCAAGACAAAGACTTTTATAAAAATGTAAGCTCTTGTTGTGGTCAGTGTTTAAGTCGGTCAACATTCTCTTGGACTAATATTTTGAGACTGGAAAAAGAAAACCTGTAGACCTGGTGAAAAGAAATACGGTTGCAGGAGAATGACTCCATCACCACGGGCGCAAGATGAGTGACCTTAATCTACCCGTCAAAAGGACAATCAGCACCGGGGCCCAAAGTAGTCACCCCTGTCTGGTTGCCTTTTGTCTTGGGTGGAAGGAATTATGTTAACCAGAGAGCAGAGATGTGCGTTTTGTTCTTAGACCTGATGTTTACACTTATGACTCCATCACAGGGATGGTCACTGGGTGACCAGGGCCACCTGCAGGCCAGCACGGGATGGCCCAGCCTTTGCTGCTGCACATGACAAGGGGCGAGGGGTACTTGCCGAATCTGGAAGCGTAGTCCGGTCTGGGAACCAAAATAATTTTTTGGTAAACTCTGCAAAATGGCTGAAGTTCAGCATCGAAAGGTCGCTGTGTTGTCCCCACGATCAGAATTCTATCGTCTGGTTTCAGGAGCTTCAGGATTTTGGGAAGCTGTTTTTTCAGGCGTTTAGGTTCCATCTGGGAGAAAAAGAGAGGGGAAAAAATGAGCCTGCATCTAGAAAAGAGAATTAATAACAAAAGAAAATGTACCCTGTGATGCATGTGCAGCATAAAGTCTGTCAAAGTGATTCCAGGGCTCTGATAAACACACTCCTAGAGCTCATCCTGGGCCGGGTCTTGGGACATGGCTCCTGGTCCAGGTGGTCCGAATCACAGGCACTTCCCTTCCTGAAGCCTGGTGTTCAGATTTGGAAAGGGGGAAGGAAGGAAGCACCTGACCGAACATTTGAGCCCCGTTAACCTTAAGAACGGGAAACAGGGCGGATTTCCAAGCGGAAGGAAGCTGGTTGGGATTGAGAATCAGTTTCTAGTGTGTTCCTCCGAGCTGTTTTGAAGGGGAACTCAAGAATTCCTTTGCTGGCTGCGGTGACAATGAAGGACTAGGGTCCTGGCTCTCCTGTCTGAAAACACCCAGCTACAGTAAGGTGTGAAAGTTCTCCCTCTGAAGCAGGCTGGCTGCAGTGTGAGTCTGTGCTAGTTCGGTGTAATCTCAGCTGATGAGGGGCGGGAGCCGGACGCCAGGCACCCTGGGCAGGATGAGTCCCCCCCCGGAGGGTCAGACTTGGCCACGCCACCACGGCAACACACGGGCTTTAACTCAACCAGGACTCGCACAGGGAGAGAGGAGGGAGTCGCTGGGGTGACGGAGCCCCCACAGAGACGCCCAGGCACAGCTGGGCCTCCTTTGCTCCCATTTGGCTCAGGGACAACTGAGCCAGAAAGTTAAAGGGCCCGTCTTTCCTGGGGTTTTTCTGGAGCCACCCAAGCATCCACGAGCTGCTCTGTGGAGACGGGGTTGCCTGTTTGGTCCTGTGTCCTGCACACCTGGCCAGGAGCCAGTCCTGCACGCCTGCCTGCAGGAGGGGGCCGGGGACATCTAGGGAAGGGAGTGGGCGTGTGATAAATTCCACCCTTGGGAACAAAAGCGAACTGCAGGGTCCTGGAACCCCAGTGGGTGTGGGGTGACAGAGTCATGCACGGCTGCAGGGCCTTTGGGATGGGGACACTGTGCTGAAAACCTGCTCCCTGGGAGACCCTTTGCCCCACCCCCTGCAGAGCTGGGAGTCAGAACCCTGCTGGCCAACCTGCTGCGCGGAGGGAGGGGTAGGGACCAGCCAGGGAGGGAAGGGGCTGTGGCCGCCCTGGGGCTGCAGTGCTGAGCCCCTCCTTTCTTCCCTCTTTTGATCAGCAGAAAGGCCCAGTTCCGTGTCTGGATTGACAAGGCGCAGGGAAAAGACTCGAAGAGACAGAGCAGGACCCTGGGCCGAGGGCCCGACTGCAGGAAAGCCCCGTGGGAAGTTGCTGAAACCTTTGGCTCCAACAAGGCAGGAGACTGGGGGCCCGCCTGGACCTCCTGGGATGGGACACACGTCAGCCTTGCTCACTACTTCTTCTGCCCGGGCTGGCTGTAAACCTTCAAGTTCAACAGCGTCTACTGAGCGCGTCCTTGTTCCAGGGACCGCTCTCATGCCTGACGTGGACTTCCTCACCTCCTCTCCACAGCCTCTCCAGGAGTAGGACACTCTCCCTCCGGAGACGCCGGCCTGAGGCACCGGGAGGCTGAGTGACCCAGAGTGAGCGTGCAGGACCCCGGCTGTGAACTCGGAGGCGGTGACGCCTGCCCCTCCCCCTCCCCCAGGGTCCCTGCCTCTCGGGGGTGGGGGATATGCCTGGGCCCTTGCTTATCCCCTTCAATTGCCTTCCAATACAGGGGTCTAACCCAGTTGAGGCCTGTAATGGAGACTTAAAAGTATATTTATTGTTATTATATATTTTGCTATATGTTATATTATTATATTTACATCATTATAATGTATATCAACTTTTTTGAGATATACTGCACACACCACACAATTCACCTACTTAAAACGTAAGATTCACTGGTTTTTAGGATGTTCAGTGTTGTGCAGACATCATCACAATTAATTTCAGATCAATTTCATTTTCATCACCCCAGAAGACTGTACCTGTTAGCAGTCACTGCCCAGTTACCCCCAACTGCCGCCTCTGATCCGAGGCAACCACTAATCTACTTTCTGTCTCTACAGATTTGTATGTTCTGAATATTTCATAAACAGAATCATACAATATGTGTGTGTGTCTGGCTTTTTTCAGGTAGCGTGATGTTTCGAGGCTCACCCACGTTGTGGTGTTTTAGGACTTAATTGCTGCATGATGTGCATTGCACAGTTATGCTGTGTTTTATTTCTCTATTCATCAGTTGGTGGACATTGGGGTTGCTTCTACTTTTTGGCTATTGTGAATACTGTCACTTTGAACATGGGTGTGCAGGATTTTGTATGGACTAATGTTTTCATTTCTCTTGGGTATGCACATAGATATTGAATTGCTAAGGTCATGTGGTAACTCTGTGTTTAACCTTTTAAAGAAATACCAGACTGTTTTCCAAAGTGTCTGCACCGTTTCACAATCCTAGCAGAGAGCAGAAGATTTAAGTTTCTCCACGTCCTTGTCAACACTTGTTACTGTCTGTTCTTCTTTTTTTCCCTTTTATTTGGCCATCTTGGTGGGTGTGAAGTAGAACCTCACTGTGGTTTTTGAGTGTATCTCCCTGGCAGCTAATGATGTTGAGCGTCTTTTCACGTGCTTCTTGGCTACTGGTATATCTTCTTTGGAAAAATGTCTATTCAGATCCTTTGCCCATTTTTAAATTGAGTTATTTGTCTTTTTATTATTGAGCTGTAAGAGCTTCTATACGTTCTAGATGCAAGTCCTTTGTCAGATAGATGATTTGCAAATACTTCCTCCCGTTCTGAATTGTCTTTTCACTTTCTTGATGGTGTCTTTCACAGCAAAACCATTTTTAGTTCCTGATGAGGTTCAATTTAACTTTTCTTTTGTTGCTTGTGCTTTTGATGTATCCCAGACACCACTGCTTAATTCAAGGTCACCCAGAGTTATGCCTCTATTTTCTTCTAAGGGTTTTATAGTTTCAGCTCTTACTTTCAGGTCTGCGATGCATTATTGGTTAACTGTGTGAGGTAGGGGTCCAGCCTCATTCTTCTGCAGGTCCCAGCACCATTTGTTGAAAAGACTGTTCTTTCTCCATTGAAATGTCTTGACACTTTTGTCAAAAAAATCAGTTGATCATAAATGTGAGGGTTTATTTCTGTACTCAGTTCTATTCCATTGATCTGTCTGTCTCTCCTCAGACCAGTGCCGTGCTGTCCTGATTGCTGCAGCTTTGTGGTAAGCTTAGAAATCGGGAAGTGCGAGCCTTCCAACTCTGTTCTTTTCAAGACTGTCCTGGCCATTCTGGGCACCTTGAATTTCCATACAGATTTTTGGATCATCTTGTCAGTTTCTGCAAATAAGCCAGCTGAAATTTTGTTGGAGATTGTATTGAATCTGTAGATCAATTTGGGACTTCTTGCCATCTTAACAATATTAAGTTTTTCAATCTATGAACATGATGCATCTTTCCATTTATCCAGATCTTTAACTTCTTTCAACAATGTTTTTGTAGTCTTCAGAGTAGAAGTCTTGCACTTCTTTCGTTAAATTTATTCCTAAATATTTTTTTGATATTATTATAAATCCAATTGTTTTCCTTAAAAATTTGTTTTTAGAACCAGTAGTAATCTTTTTTTTTTTTTTTTAGTTAAGGCACTAGGGTTTGAACCCAGGACTTCATGCATGCTAAGCACGCGCTCTACCACTGAGCTAGACCTCTCACCCCCGAATTGTTTTCTTTTTTTTTTTTTTAACATTTTTAAATTGAGTTATAGTCATTTTACAATGTTGTGTCAAATTCCAGTGTAGAGCACAACTTTTCAGTTATACATGAACATACATATATTCATTGTCACATTTTTTTTTCGCTGTGAGCTACCACAAGATCTTGTATATATTTCCCTTTGCTACACAGTATAATCTTGTTTATCTATTTTACATTTTGAACTCCCAGTCTGTCCCTTCCCACCCCCCGCCCCCTTGGCAACCACAAGTTTGTATTCTATGTCTGTGAGTCTGTTTCTGTTTTGTATTTATGTTCTTTTGGTTTTCTTTTGAGATTCCACATATGAGTGATCTCATATGGTATTTTTCTTTCTCTTTCTGGCTTACTTCACCTAGAATGACAATTGTTTTCTTAATTTTAATTTGAATTGTTTTCATTGCACGTGTATAGAAGCAAAGTGCTCTTTGTTTATGGATCTTATATCCCACCCTGCAAACTTGCTGAAACTGTTGATCAGTTCTAGTGCTGTTTTAGTGAATTCCTCAGGGTTTTCTGTATACAAGATCACGCCATCTGCAGACAGAGATAGTTTTAGTTCTTCATGTCCAACATGGATTTTTCAATTTAAATTTCTTCCCTAACTGTCCTGGTGAGACCCTCCACATACTGTTGGATAGAAGAGGCGACCGCAAGGGGAGGCGTCCAGTGTTTCACCAGTAAGTACGACGCTCGCTGTGGGGTTTTCTAGTTGCCCTTTATCAGGCCGAGCAAGTTTCCTTTTTTTTTTAAATCACGAAGGGGGGTTGGATTTTGTTAAATGCTTTCTCTGCATCTATTGACATGATGGTGTGGCTTTTGTCCTTTATTTTAATGATACACTGTATTACATTAGTTGATTTTTGGAAGTGAAAACTGGGAAGAATCCCACTTGGTCTTGGTGTATAATCCTTCTTCTGTGTTGCTGGAGTCCGTTTAGAAGGGACTTTTTGTCACGTAAGTCGCAGCAGAGAAAGAGACGGGTTTCTCCAGCAAAATCAGTCCTGCGGACTGGGCCCGAGGCCAGGCCACCGGGCAGCTTCCATGATTTCCTCCCGCACTCCCCGCGTCCACAGCCTGCTCCCCGCTTCAGGAGGAGCAGCAGCCCCGCAGGACCCCACCCGGGAGGTGCCCAGTGGGGCTTGGGGACAAAGAGGAGCTTGAAGGGGCTGCTCCCCAGTCTCCTCCCAGGTCTTTGCAGAAACCTGCCTTTGCTCAGACC